ATACAGAGTGAAGTAAGCCAGAAAGATAAAGACCAATACAGTATACTAACACATATATATGGAATTTAGAAAGATGGTATCAATAACCCTATATGCAAAACAGAAAAAGAGACACAGATGTACAGAACAGACTTTTGGACTCTGTGAGAGAAGGTGAGAGTGGAATGTTTCAATAATAGCATCGAAACATGTATATTATCTAGGGTGAAACAGATCATCAGCCCAGGTTGGATGCATGAGACAAGCGCTCGGGCCTGGTGCACTGGGAAGACCCAGAGGGGTCGGGTGGAGAGGGAGGTGGGAGGGGGGATCGGGATGGGGAACACATGTAAATCCATGGCTGATCCACGTCAACGTATGACAAAAACCACAATACTGTAAAGTAATTAGCCTCCAACTAATAAAAATAAATGGAAAAAAAAAGAAATGGGGAGCTGATGCAGAGAAACTGTACAAGTTGTCACAGCTAGACCAATATGTTTAAGAGTCATCAACAGGGAGGAAATAAAGCTAGCTGTGGAAACAGATGAGCTTAATAGGGCAAAGAGTAGAGAAAGAAGAGAATCTGAAGGCACAGCCTAGGTATGCTTATTTTAGGGGTATGGGAAAAGAGAGACGGAACTTTGAAACAGTCGAAAATTATGCAGTGAAGAGACCAGGATGAGGATCCAAGCCAGTGAAGATTCCCTGCCATCCTAAATGACTGGTGGGAAACCACTGTTTGAACAACTGAGCTAGTGGGAAATATTTTCTAGAAAGTTTTGTCCTAGCCTGTGGCACAAACATTAATGTGGTATAACCACTTTAGTCATACTGGATTACCAACAGTGCTTACAGGCAACACTCCCCAGGGATCTAGCACAAAACATTATTTTCAGCAGAAAGCAAAGATCTTTAATGTTTCAAAGCAGCAAAATAAATTTAATATTAAAAAAAATTCCAGCAACAGCTGGAGCTTCTGAGCACCTTTAGAAATGGGACCCGTGTCTAGTAAAGCAGTTTGTTCTCAGTAAAGGCTGTGTACTTTCAAACATTTTAATTCTAGAGTGACTGTGTGTGCTTATGACATGTAATGATATAAATGACATTTAATTCAGCTCATACAAAAAATGTAATCAAATTATGCTTCAGTGTATCTTTGTCTTTCCGGAAATGGATACATAAATGCTTATACTTATAAAAAAGATAGGAAAGCTGTCTATCAAATTAACTGAGATTCGCTTTAGGGGACAGTCTTCTGAATGATTAAAATGTTCTTTGGGCTTTTCAGTACTTTCCAAAATAACTACAGTAGAATTTCATCAATATTGAAATATAAAAAATGCTATTTAAAATGAAATAGAGCAATCTATGGTCCATGACTTACATATGCTGAGATCTCTAAGAAAGGAAAATAAAAATCATACCTCACTATGGCTTATTTCACCATGAAATACTGCATGAAAATAACTTGTCAACTAATGTCTACATGGATAGATACAAAGTCAGGAAATAAAACACTGTATATTACAAACTGAAAACCCTTTGTGTATAAACTACATCATTAATATATTAATTATTGTTGAGATTTTAAGGATTAATTTTTAGAGTTTGTATATAATTCAATAGACTCTTCAAAAAGGGACAGAGACCTCAAGCCAGAAAAAATTTTCTCAAGTGAAAGATCATCTGATGAGTGCCAAATTAATCCATATGGGCCCACTGCATGCAAGTTCTCTATTGGAAAGCTTTCTTCTAGCCTGTGGCATGACCATGAATGTAGCATAACCACTTTATTCATGTTGGATTACCAATACTGCTTACAGGCAACAATTCCCAAGAATATAGCACAAACAGATTCTGCAGCTGCAAAGTTTCATGGGGGAGACGCCAAGAGGCTAAGGGTGTGAGCTGCACTGATGCAGATGAGTCCTGAGTCTCTGGCTAATGAATCCTGTGGGGATTGGCAATGCAATTTCCAGGATGTACTAATGATATAAAGTGATGTAAGTGAAATTGAACTGAGTACAGCTTGTACACTTTGATGGGTTCTGGCTTAGGCCTGCTTAGTAAATAGGGCTTCTCTGGCAGTGAGAGAAAGAAGGAAAAACACAAACTGGTAAATCTTGTGCTTGCTTCAAGTCTATGTTATTTCTCAACTATTGTGTCTTCATCCTACTTATGATTGGCCATAGAAACAGAAACAATTAATGTTTTAATTGTTTTGTGGTCAGAAAGGGAAAACTTACCAGTTTCAATTCTGTTATCACTATCAGTGCTGACTTTTGATGCAGTGCTCTCATTTGTTACACAGTTTTTTACTGTCTTCTCCCTAGAGCTGTCACATCAAATAATTTATTTAAAACTGAAAGAAGCTTCTGAGATCATGAGTAAAGGTTATTTAGAAAAAAAGAAACATTTCAGGGTGATCAGATTTTTTTTCCCAAATGCTCCAGAACATATTATTTTCACAAATATTTCAGTTAAAACTATTTTTTTAAAGTCATAGTATTTTCATTGGGAAATGAGAAAGAAAGACACTACAGTTCACCCTTGAAAGCATGAAAGCCAGAAAATTCCAAACTTAGATACTCTGTTTTCTTGACATAAACTTAGATGACTCAGGGAGTAATATTTTATATTATAAAATAAAAATATTTTCTTTTGAATTAAAAATTTCATAGGATACAAAAAGGATGGTTCTTCTACCAAGAATTACAATGGAGACAACTATAACCATTAGTTTGAAAAAGAAATAAGAAAGGTGAGTGTTTGCACTTGATTGATATAGTATGGTAAGACTGGTTGTGTACAGATTGGAAAATACATTAAGTACAGACAGCCTAAACTATGAGCCAAGCACTTTACTGTCATCATTTCATTTAATCATAAAAGCTCTCTCATTAATCTATAATCACCATTTTATAGGTTGGGGGACTTGGGACTCAGAAAGGCTTAAAAGAAAAATCCTTCACCCAAGGTTGGAGAGCTTATAGAGTATTAATGTTAATTCTGGATACTTGAGCAACATTTTACTTTTGTTTTTGCAATCACTATAAGGTAACTAAACAGAAATATAGTGGTGATAATTGTTTGCCTCACTAGGAAGTTTATTCAATTATATATTAACTCACCTCTGGATTTCTGTAGTAAACAAGGTACTCCAATGCATTTAAAATACGAATTAATTTACAAAGTATATAGACAAATAATTTTTAAGAACTATTCCATTTCTTTCTACAGCAGGGTGAATTTTAGTCTATGTAAATTAATCTCATTAACTTCAAGGCTTCCCACTTGGCCCAGTGGTAAAGAATCCACCAGCAAGGAAGGAGACCTGGGTTCAATCCCTGGGTCAGGAAGATTCCCTCGAGAAGTAAATGGCAACCCACCCCAGTATTCTTGCTTGGGAAATCCCATGGGCAGAGGAGCCTAGCAGGCTACAGTTCATGGGGACGCAAAAGAGTCAGACTTAGCGAATATACAACAACAAATTAAACTGGACTTTAAAATACAGGGAACTTATGGGCTTCCATTGTGGCTCAGTAGTAAAGAATCCACCTGCCGCAGAAGCCACAGGTTTGACCTCTAATCCAGAAAGACCCCACATGTCAAAGAGCAACTAAGTCCATGCACCACAACTATTGAGCCTGTGCTCTAGAGCCACAGCTACTGAATCCCTTGTGTGTGGAGTCCATGCTGTGCAACAAGAGAAGCAATCTTAACGAGAAGCCTGCACACTACAGCTATAGAGTAGCCCTTGCTTGCTGCAACTAGAGAAAAGTCCGAGCAGCACTGAAGACTGAATGCTCAATGAAGACTGAGCATAGCCAAAAATAAACAAATAGTTTTTAAAATAGGGAACTTAAAAAAATAGAGAAATAAGGCTGCTCTCTGAGGGTAAAATTACAAAACATATAATGAATGAGAACAGAGACAGGCAGAGTCACCAGAAAAGAGCAGGATCCCAGGCCAACAGGCATGGACTTCACTTAATCATCATTCAGCAAACTATTTCTTAGCACCGCTCATGGGCCAGACATTGTTCTAGGCACTAGGGATACTGCAGTAAACAAGACAAGCAAGGTTTTTGTTCTCATGGAGCTTATATTCTAGTGGAGGGGAAAGATAATAAAGAAGTAAAGAAAAAACATCCTGAGGAAGAATATTTAGTGTTGTGTGGACATTTTCATATCTTATCAAATTTAAAATGGTATGTATAGGAAGCAAACTGCTATAAAATAAATATATTTATTATTTTATTAATATATTTATATATTGATTGTATGATATATAAGGTCCTATGTTGCTATAATATATAAACATGCACAGACAAAATACACACACACATATACATATACCTAAAACTAAGAAGATATTTACCATAATATAATTAGTGTTTCTTTCTGGGTAGTGTGATTATAAGTGGCTAACATTGTTTTTTTTTCTACTTTCCATATTCTCACAATAAATACACATTCCTTCTATCATCAGGAAAAAAGTACTAGTAATACATCTACATATGTGTATAGGTACACAGATGTCTGAAAGGATGTATACCAAACATTACTAGTAGTTAACTTAATAGCAAAATATAGGGTGATTTTGACTTTTTCTCCTGCACTTTTGTGTTATTTGTTTATCAGAAACTTCTATTTTTCAAAAATAATAAAACAACTTTTTTTTAAAAAGCATGAATTTTGAGGTAGAAGATATGGTACCTTATTTTGACAAAATTTTAGTAATAAAAAATGGAAAAATCTACCATGCAGATACTTTAGAGCTTAAAAGGCCATTTACTTTTGGTTTTGTACAAAAATGCTTCCCTTATCATTTTTTAACAAATTTATCTCTAACGAGCCTGCCCATGGTAATGTAATCCTCCTAATTCAATAGGAAAAGACCATGTACTGATTTATAACTCTACCAAGAAAGGGCTGGCAAACATCTATGGGAATAAGTAATTCCATAAAACCCCTATCTATAAACTCTGAACAATAACTTTAGAGAAGGTACAATTATATCCAAAGAAGACCCAGTGGTTCAAGAAAGCAGAAATGTACCACTGAGGGCCAGATTCTCACCCCAGATAAATCTGAAAATTTTGCATAGATACTTTGATTTCTGATCTGAGGATTCTTATAACTTGTAGAGATTTCTGCTGGATAATGAAGAAAGTTAAGCAGGAATTCACTACTCTCTGTCCAGAACCAAACTAAAAAAAATTTTGGTAAAAATCTTACCTTTTTTCCACCTCTAAAAGAAAATTTTCACTGTTGCCCAACTGACTAAAATGCAGCTTGGCAGCTTTTCTCTCACTTTCTCGTACAGCTCGGTCATCTGGAGGAAAAAACCATGGTCTGAGCATATTTCTTTTTTGGAGTAAACAGTAGTGGGTCAGAAAAGCATATTCACAGAGTAAAAACTAAAGATCAATCTCATCTTTTGTGTAGACGGGTCACAGAATAATGCTATTATGTTGTCATTGGAGTAAGCAGTAACTTAGGGAGACTACAGGGACACCATAGCAACAACTGTCTCCTAAGTGTAACTATCGCTACAGGAAAGTACAGTTTGGGCAGCAAACAATCCAAATGGCCTAATCTTTTTTTTTTTTAAATGGCCTAATCTTAAAGGCTGAAAGTCACACCATTTCTAAAAGACTTTACTTAACTTCCCTATAATTTTCCCGGGAGCATGTAACATAGAAGTTTATATCAATGAGAATAAAATTATAAAGAAATACAGACTAACTCATTTGAAGGACTATGTATTGTTCCTTGCCAACTAAGCCTCAAAAAGTTGCTATATTCATTTTCTACTGCTGATGTAGTTACAAAGTTGGGGCACCTGGAAAAATAAATGTCAAACTGGAAACTTTTTGTTGAGGAGGAAGTGGTGGTGAAACCATCAAGTGAAGAAAACTAAAGCTGGAAGTAACTGATAAAATCATAGATTGTCATTCAATAAACAATAAAAGGACTCGTCATACATCCTGCCAACACAAAAGTTACATAAATATTGACTAATAAACAAATATATCCTGCCAGTGCACACTCTGGGCCAACATCCAAAAGGTTAGGAGGCAGCTAGTTTAAAGTAAGATTTTGGGACAAAGAACAAGGGAGGAGGGTCTCACCCAGTTTCTCCAGAGTTTGTAGCGTATAGACAGCAAAGAGCCTATAATCTGTATCTTTCCTGACAACAGGATTGAGTCTCAAATCTAGTTCTTTGAGGAAGGGTAAAGGCTGTAGGCGGGACACCTCCACTAATGAAGGAATGTTGTTATAATATAAATTCAGGTCTTGGAGCGAACATAAATACTGGATGCCCTGCAAGGAAAAGACCACATTATGAAAGTGCATGTTGGGAAGGACTAGGAATCTCACAGATAAAGGTAGAAATACAAATATTACTTTCCATCCTTAAACAGTTACCTGAGTCACCCATGAGAAAGGCAGGGTTGAAATTCCCATTTAGTTGCCTGACAATAAGAATGCTGCAGCCCATGGGCACTGGGTGTAGCTATACATTAAATAATTCACTGATATCATACATTTCCTCCTCTATAAGCTCTGACATTCAAATATCTGCAGTCAGTTTTATACTTCTGCTGCCTCTTGTCACTCTTCCAATCTAATCCTTCCTGGTAGTAGCCAGGCCAAGTCACTTTTGCATTTCTCTCACCCTTGCTACAACCACTCTCCTGCCCCAAAAAGCCCTCAAGAGGGAGGGAGGCAAAAGAGAGATGGTTCTAAGGAAAGGGTATGGAAAGAAATTAAGTGTGTATGTATTTTGTTGTTGCTCTGTCACTAAGTCATGTCTGACTCATTGTGACCCTATGGACTGCAGCACGCCAGGCTCCCCTGTGCTTCACTATCTCCCAGAGTTTGCTCAGATTCATATCCATTGAGTTGGTGATGCTGTCTAACCATCTCATCCTCTACTGCCCCCTTCTCCTTTTGCCTTCAATCCTTCCCAGCATCAGGGTCTTTTCCAATGAGTCGACTCATCACATCAGGAGGCCAAAGTATTCTATGTATATGTTCTTATATTAATATCTCAAGACCTCACTTTTAGGATGAAAGGACTACACGGAAAAACCAAACAATGCAATCTCCAAGTCTTCACTCCTGGACCAACCTGGAGCCCCCTTTTCCCCCTTCAGGGTTACTGCCACAATACGAGCTCCACATCCTCCAATCAGTCAGTTCCTCTTGGTAGAAATGCTCTTCCTTCTTCTCTTTTCTCTCTGTGGACTTAGCAACCCCACCCCCTCCACTTCTCTAGCAACAGTGCAATCAGAACTGGGACACTTGAGAGGAAAAGTCACAGTTTTTCTCCTTTACTAAAACCTACTATTGAAACTAATTGTTTAATTTTCATGTATTTAGCTAGTTAGGTGCTTTGGCCCAACACTAAATTTCAAGACAATATTTCAAAACATGTACATGTATGTATAGTCACACACTTTTAATATTAAAAATGCTTACCATAAAAGGAACTCTGTCATTGAGAGTTATTTCAGAAAGGTAAAATTATTTTCCATCACCTATTTATAAAATAATGTTTATATTCTTTTCTCATTTAAAATTAACCTTTTTTAATTGCAGGAAGTTTAGAAAACTCAAGGATATATTAAAAACATTTCTGAATTGAACCCTGCCTACAGTTCAATGCATTTCTTTCTGGCTATTTTCAGTTCCATTAACTGCTACATTGTGAAAGGATAAATGGTTAGGGATATTTATCAATGCTTTTGGCATCACTCTCAGGGTAGCACACCATTAGGGCCATCTTTAAATGTATCTAATGTCCCAGCTCAAGTAACCTTTTAATGTCTCAGTATAATAGTCAAGGGAGCAAATCCAATCCTCCTCTCACATTTCCCCATTGGCATATTCCCCATTGGCATAAATTTATGTATTCTCAATGCTACATTAGAAATAAACACAAAAGATTTCCCCCTTGAAAAAAGCAAGCAAAATGATTCGGAGCTGCTAGAGATGAATACCTGCAGATAAATCACAGAAGTTAAAAAAAAAAATCTAGGAAACTGGCATTTACTAAGTGCTTTTCTATATGCCAAACACTACCAGGAGTCTTATATATGTAATTTTTGATTAGTTGTACTAATTTGATTAATCTTCACAACAGTTTTTCAGGCAATTTACAGAAGTAGAAAAAAATGGAGTGCAAAAGCAAATGATAGCAATGTTCACTCAATCTTTTTAGTCTGAAAAAACAAACAGTAAAAATACATATGAGAAGAGGAGGCCTAAATAACTCTGTACCAATACTTTCTGAAATAGGTGAGCCAGATACAAAGGACTCTTATCTAAGATTCTAAAGACCTAGTTTAACTTGGAATTTCTGCTCTTAGAATCCTATTTGGAAATTTGATCTAGCTTGGATTTATTCTTTCAGGGCCCTTAGTTTTAGACCTTGAGATCAGGTCTGATTTGTGTTGTTGAAAAGTTTCCCCTAAGAAATGCAAAACTGGCAGAATAATCCAGATCAGTAACCAATCTTGGACAGCACCTGTAAGTCTTTCACCTTCAGTCTTGCAAAGGGCTTTATCAAGACAGACTTGTAGCTGGGCAAAAAGGGAATGGTGGAAGAAATACTATTTGGGGGTCTACACAAAGAAAAGAAAATTTCCATTTCTGTGTGTGAGGGTGTTTATGTTTGTAGAGCTCTTGCTTTGTGTTTGCTAATCCTCACACTTTCTGCTTAAGCACCTACTTTCCTGAACTGTCCTCTGCTCCACCATCTCCTGGCCTGGAAGTTTTTCTTTGTTTTCAAGACCATCATTTTCTCCCCCTCCTGAAAAAAACTCACAGTAGCAACCTAGGCCAGTGTTTCTCCATATATGTTCCATGCATCAACATCATCAGAATCCCTTGGGAAATGTCCTGGACCCACTGCATATTTACTAACTCAGACTCTCTCCCTCAGAATAAGGACTAAGACTCTGTATTTTTATTAATATTTTTTATTTATTATTTTTTATTATTTAACTAAGATCCCACACAGGGGATCTTAGTTCCCCAATCAGGGATTGAACCTATACCCTCAGCAGTGAAAACATGAGTCTTAATCACTAGACTGCCAGAAAATCTCCAAGAATCTGTACTTTTAACAGTGCTCCTCATAATTTTTTAACACACATTAAGAATCATAACAATTGCCCTAGGAAGTGACAGTTTTCTTTTAGTATAAAATAAATTTTTTCCCACTATCTTATAATTTAAATGTCAAACATAAAGCAAAATTGAAAGAATTTTATGGTGAATAACAAAATTTAGTTTGGAAACATTTAAAAGGATATTCCCCAAGCTGATATTCTTTTACTTCTTCCCATTAAAAAAAACCAAAAAACTGTCCGGTCATAAAACACAGAACTTACCTTCAGGCTAGTGATCAAATTTCTTGATAAATCTAAGGATCGGAGACTTTTAAAATTTCTGAAGGCATCGCCGATGGAATGGATTTTTCCAGCATAAGATCCCTGCAATGAAAGAGACTCCACCAGTTCTGAAAAGAGATCATCAGTAGATATATTATGATCTCTGCTTGGAAAAAGAGCAGAGTCATTGAAAACAGGCCTTCCTTTCTCCCATATCTCATCTGTGAAAGGTCCTATATTCAAGGCTCATAAGAAGAGAAGATCTTCCTTTTAAAATTAGCAATATGGTCTAATGCAATGACATCAAGACTTGGTTTTACAGAAACCCTGAGTTTCTTTAAGTACCCTGAATGACGTAGTAAGAGTCTCCCAAAGTTCTCAAAACAAACAACAAATTCAGCAATCCCACTGCTAGGATTTAGCCCTATAGATAGTACAGCATTTTGCCAGGATATATGATATAGACCAGAAGGATGTCAATTACAGTAAAGTTTTAGGATAGTGAAAGAAAGAAAGAGAGGGAAGGAGGGAGGGAAGAAGAAAGGGAGAGAAGGAGGAAGGAAAAGGAGAAAAAGAAAATCATCAAAGGGCTCATCAGTAGAAGAGCAGAACTAGATGGCCTAAGTAGCAGTGCATTGAACAATGTACTAGATCTGTGACCATGTAAAAGTCACTTAACTTCTCTGTGCATCCATTTCATCATGTGATAAATGTTTTTTTTTTTTCATTTATTTTTATTAGTTGGAGGCTAATTACTTTACATCATTACAGTAGTTTTTGTCAAGCAGTGCATTGAACAATGTACTAGATCTGTGACCATGTAAAAGTCACTTAACTTCTCTGTGCATCCATTTCATCATGTGATAAATGTTTTTTTTCCATTTATTTTTATTAGTTGGAGGCTAATTACTTTACATCATTATAGTAGTTTTTGTCATACATTGAAATGAATTAGCCATGGATTTACATGTATTCCCCATCCCGGTCCCCCCTCCCACCTCCCTCTCCACCCGATCCCTCTGGGTCTTCCCAGTGCACCAGGCCCGAGCACTCGTCTCATGCACCCAACCTGGGCTGGTGATCTGTTTCACCCTAGATAATATACATGTTTCAATGCTGTTCTCTTGAAACATCCCACCCTCGGCTTCTCCCAGAGTCCACAAGTCTGTTCTATACATCTGAGTCTCTTTTTCTGCTTTGCATATAGGGTTATCGTTACATCATGTGATAAATGAAGATTACAACATTACTTATCTCATAAGATGCTGTAAAGGATTTAATGACTATATGTATTGTATATATACATGTATATAGTTGTTGCTGTTGTTTAGTCTCTAAGTCATGTTCAACTCTTTTGTGACCCCATGGACTGTAGCCCACCAGGCTTCTCTGTCCATGGGATTTCCTAGGCAAGAATACTGGAATGGATTGCCATTTCCTTCTCCAGGGAATCTTCCCGACCCAAGGATAGAATCCGCATCTCTTTCATTGACAGGTGAGTTCTTTACTGCTGAGCCACCAGGAAAGCCCATAAACATATACGCATATATATATGTATGTGTGTGTGAGAGAGAGAGTATACAAAACTTAGAATAGTGTCTGACACATGGTGCTATATACATGCTAATTATTATTATATAATCATTTAAAAGAATGAGGTAGATTTGTAGATGCTTGTATGGAAAGATCTCAAAGACACTGAAAAAAAGTGTGACTTTGTGTCTGTATATGTGTGACTGTGTTTTATGTATTTATTTTTATTTTTTAATATAAATTTATTTAATTGGAGGCTAATTACAATATTGTAGTGATTTTGCCATATATTGACATGAATCAGCCATGGATTTACATGTGTTCCCTATCCTGAACCCCCTCTCACCTCCCTCCCCATCCCATCTCTCTGGGTCATCCCAGTGCACCAGCCCCGAGCACCCTGTCTCATGCATCCAACCTGGACTGGCGATCTGTTTCACATATGATAATATACATGTTTCAATGCCATTCTCCCAAATCATCCCATCCTCACCCTCTCCCACAGAGTCCAAAAGACTGTTCTATATATCTGTGTCTCTTTTGCTGTCTCACATAAAGGGTTATTGTTACCATCTTTCTAAATTCCATATATATGCTTCTCCCATTCTGAAGGCTGTCTTTTCACCTTGCTTATAGTTTCCTTTGCTGTGCAAAAGCTTTTAAGTTTAATTAGGTCCCATTTGTTTATTTTTGCTTTTAAAGAATATATGTGTGTGTACTTATGTGTGTATATGTGTGTGTGTATATATATATACATACATACACGTATGTCAAACTAGACTTCTGACAGCACTGAAAAGAGGAGAATCTCGAAACTGCCAATAGGAGCTCACTGGCAAGTGTGGTGGGCCAAAATGAGAACAGGAACAAAAACTGGAAGGAGCTTCTACAGAATCCCATTTGCAGGTGACTGCCAAGGAACTGCACCGAAATAAGTTCTTAGGTACTGGAGCAGTCTAGGCCCTATAAATTATAAAAAACATGAAACAAGATCCTTTTCAAGATAAGACTCATCCCTGAAAGAAATAATCGGAACAGAATCCACATTGAATGGAATACAGACAATAAGTTCAAAAGAAAGAGAAGGTCTAGATACAAGTCTGGGAGGAAAGCAGAGACTGCAGATCTCAGGAAGCTTAAAGCCCTATTTTTCATACTTTGTGAACACAACAGAAGAGGGAGCTCCAAACCCTGAAACTAGAAAAGTTATTCTGGCCCAGCTAAAAGTATAGAAAACTTAAAGCACTTTAACAAAGACACAGAAAAGGTTTACAGTCAAATTGTATATGAGGTTATTAAAACAAAAAAGAACAAAAACAGAATAGCATCCCTAAAGAATGAAAGCACTCCAAAAAGATACATCCACAAAACAAAGGAAACCTTTAACTTAGTATTTCAAAACAAATTTCAAAAGCTAAAAGACGTCATAACAAAGTGTGCTGCTGCTGCTAAGTCACTTCAGTCGTGCCCAACTCTGTGCGACCCCATAGACGGCAGCCCACCAGGCTCCCCCATCCCTGGGGTTCTCCAGGCAAGAACACTGGAGTGGGTTGCCATTTCCTTCTCCAATGCATGAAAGTGAAAAGTGAAAGTGAAGTCGCTCAGTTGTGTCCGACTCTTAGCGACCCCATGGACTGCAGCCCACCAGACTCCTCCATCCATGGGATTTTCCAGGCAAGAGTATTGGAGTGGGGTGCCATTGCCTTCTCCATAACAAAGTGTAGCAGTTCTCAAAACATCCCCTGGAGATCCCTGAGACATGCACAGGGGTCCACAAAATCAAAACTATTTTAAAAAATTATTTTCATAATAATATTAAAACATTAACAACTATTTTTACTGTGCTGATATTTGCACGTAGGGTATAAGAGCAAAAACTACTGAGGCCTTAGGATGACTTGAGGCAGTGGCATCAAACTTTACTTAGTCATAGTATTGTACTCTTCACCATTATATGCATGCAGTTTAAAAAAAGAGCCACTTTTTCTTAAGAATGCCCTTGAAAAAGCAGTAAAAACGGTTAATTTTAGTAAATCTTGACCCTTGAGTACATCTTTTTTATATTGTGTTCCTAAATGGGAGGTATGTATGCATGAAGTATTTCTGCTGCATACTGATGTATGCTGGATGCCTAGCAGGAAAACACTTGCGTGGGTTTTGAGATGCCAGCTTAACTAGCCATTTTTTAGGGGGGAGGTAACTACTGTTACTATAAAATTCTGACATACCTGAATGGCTGTGAGACATTTTCTTAAAAATAAAGAAAGTGAGACTGTCACTTCAGTCAAAGCAAGTAACAGTAACTGTTGTCAATTATTAACATATGAGCTTCCAAGCTGAAATTAGAATTTTGATAAACTTGTATTTGCCACCATAAACTTGACAGATTCCAAAATCTAAAGCTCTCTCTAGTGAAATTTGTGATGATATTAACAAATATGATTTTTTAATGTTATATAATGAAATTTGTCAATATTTGGAAGATATATACAAGTCAGTGAGTTAATATCTTTCGAATGATGGATGCATGATATTAATGTACCAATGGATTTTAATGTAACAGAGTACAGAAAGTTCATGATATGGTTTTATATTTCAGATACAACTAACCTTTAAGAAACTACCATTTGCTCAGTTATCATGTCATAGCAAAGAAGAAAATTCACTGAAAAGGCTATTTAAATACTTCTTCCTTTTGGGAGGGCTTCCCTGGTGATCCAGGGTTAAAAATCCATCTTGCAATGCAGGAGACACCAATTGGATCCCTAGTCTGAAAGATCCCACATGGCACAGGGCAACCAAACCTGTGCACCACAACAATGAAGCCTGTGCTTTGGAGCCCACCAGCCATGACTACTGAGTCTGTGCAGAACTGCTGAAGCCTGTGCACTCTAGAGTGTGTGCTCCACAAGAGAAGCCACTGCAATGAGAAGCTGCAAACTGCAACTGGAGAGTAGCCTCCATTCTCTGCAAGTAGAGAGAGCCTGTGCGCAGCAGTGAAGAGCTGACATACCCTAAATAAATATTCCCCTTTTTCAACTATATAGCTATATAAGGCATGACTGCATATATGTGTGTGTGTATATATATATATATATATTTCAATCAAACAACATCATATTTAACACAGAGGAAGATATGAGAATATGGATGTCTTCAATTAAGACATTAAAAAGACATTATATATGTTAACACGTAATGGGTATGTTACGGTTATCTTTTAATGACTTACAAATAAATATTTTAAAATTTTGTTTCAACATCAAATATGGTAAATATAAGTAGATATAATCCACATTAACCAAAGCTCTTTGAATAATATTTAAGTAAGAGTGTAATGGAATCCTGAGACCAAAAATTTTGAGAATTGTTGAAAAATGTAAATTAGACTGAGTGGCTTATAAACAACAAACAATTATTTCTCACAGTTCTGGAGACTGGAAGTCCAAGATCAGGGTGCTGGCATGACTGGGTTGTGGTGAAAGCCTTCTTCCAGGTTCCAGACTGCCTACTTCTCCGTGTGTCCTCACACAGTGGAAGAGGGCAAGGGAACTTTCTCTTTGGTCTCT